AACCCAAACCAGTCTGGGATTCTATGACATCAGTCCAACACAAACCAGTCTGGGATTCTATGACATCAATCTGGGCTTTGACATCTCTGTACCTCACTTCCCCTGCTGACAGCAGAGAGCTGATCTTTGCCTGTGTCAGGGTGAATTAATCACACCATGCACAATGTTTAACGAGCTTGTAAAAAGAATTGGCAAGTTTACCTTTTTTAAACTCCTTTCTTGCAGCGAGCAGAGAAGCCTGCTGGAGAAGTGTGCAGCCACAGCCCTGAGCTCTAAGCTCATCTCCCAGAGCAAGGAATTCTTTTCCAAGATGGTCGTAGATGCCGTTATGATGTTAGATGACTTGTTACAACTCAAAATGATCGGGATAAAGAAGGTGCAAGGAGGTGCTCTGGAAGTAAGTCCTGTCAGAGTCTGAAAGGATGTGAGGACAGTGATCACAGCTGCTTTGGTGGGTTGACTCCAGCAGAAATGCAGCTCAGCTTGTTAATATCTGCTTGTAAAGTGAAACAAAGCTGTTGATGTGAGGGATAAACCTTCACAAGTAAGGCTGGGTGTTTTTGTAGGTAGAGAATCTTTTTTTGAGCCAAACACACTCTTTACCTCACTGCCCTCTGCAGAGAATGCTGCTACTTATAGAAATTCCATTTATCTGTCTGCAAATAATGAAATATTTTTTTCCTATGGGAAATCTTTGTTACTTTTGGAACCAAAAACCAGCCAGTGAGTAGCAGGTTGGGGAAAAATGCAAAGAAAACGTTGTGAAGGAGCTGCTGTGGTGGGCAGGACAGATGGGATGTGTAGTTTATACCACGGTGCTGGAATATCTGCATGTGGGTGTGTGGTGGGGAGTTGTTCGTGGGCTGGTGTCTCTGTGTCCTCTCTAAGTTTGGCCCCTGTTGCTTGTGACTAAAAACAAGTGACAACTAAAACCTGCCACAGTCTCTGAATTATTTTTCTGTGGCTGTTACTCTCTATGAACACTGCACGAGCATTTTCATGGAGAGGAGACACTATAATTATACCATTATCTTGCCCAGACAACTAATTTAGTGAATTAGAAACGTTTCAACATTTGTTTTTGTGGTGTCTGGGCCTCTTGGCGTTCTGAAGCTTGCAGAAATTGGTCCCCTGGGGGAGGTTGGTGTCTCCTGTTCTGGATAAAAGCAGCTTTTCCTACTCTGTATTGTTCTGCCCTTGTATTTTGCTTGCAGATTCCTTGGAGACTTGTATGAGGAATGGGGCAAATAATTTAGCACGCTGCTTTTCAGGGTTGTGAGAGATCCTGAGTCATTCATCCTGTCAGCTAGAGCAGAGAAAGTCTGTGCTTGTCCCTGGGAGGGACAGGGACCCTCAGCAGAGCCAAGTCATTAGAGAGATTTAGATGCTGATTTCTCTCCCAACTAAGAAGTCAAGAAGTTCACTTCAGAGGGCAATGTTGGGCAGGGCAGTCCTGCTGCAAAACAATCCTGGAGGTGGTGATGGAGCTGAGAAAAATAAACCAGGAGGGAAAAAAACAACCAACTAACCAAAAAAAAACCCCAAAAAACCCTGAGTGTGGGGCTGTGGATGAGAATTATCCATCTTCAAAGGGAAAGACATCAGAGAGAGAACAGATTGCTCCATCCCTTCATCTTCAGGTTGTGTGTAGCATCTTCTGCTGCGGTGTCTTGAGGGGTAGAAAGGGAATTGAGAGAAGCTGGTTTATGTGAACCAAGAGAAGAAAATATCTTCTGCTTATTTTCCTCAAAAAGTGGGTTAATCAAAGGAGAAAGCTGTTGGTGAGGGCTTTGTAAATGAGGGCTCTGAAAGCAGGGACTCTCCTGGGGGGGCAGTTATTAACCCTGCTGAGAGAACCTTGGGAGGTTGAGCCTAACACAGATCCATCTCTTCCAGGACTCTCAGCTGGTGGCTGGTGTTGCCTTTAAGAAGACGTTCTCTTACGCTGGCTTTGAAATGCAGCCCAAGAAATATCAGTCTCCCAAGATTCTGCTGAACGTGGAGCTGGAGCTCAAGGCTGAGAAGGACAATGCTGAAGTCAGAGTAAACACGGTGGAGGTAAGAGCTGGAAGGGGGGAATCTCCCACTTCCTCATGCCCATCAGACATGGTGGCTGCTTGAGAGCTGGTGGGATAAATGGGATTGACTTCATAAAATCATAGAATCCCAGACTGGTTTGGGTTGGAAGGGACCTTAAAGCTCATCCAGTTCCAACCCCCCTGCCAGCAGCAGGGACACCTTCCACTAGACCAGGTTGCTCAAAGCCTCATCCAACCTGGCCTTCAACACTTCCAGGGAGGAGCAGCCACAGCTTCTCTGGCCAACCTGGGACACTGTCTCACCACCCTCACACCAAACAATTTCTTCCTCACATCTCAGCTCCATCTCCCCTCTGCCACTTTCAAGCCATCACCCCTTGTTCTCTCACTCCCTGCCCTTGGCCAAAGTCCCTCCCCAGCCTTCCTGGAGCCCCTTAGATGAGTGTAATCCCTTCTTTCTCCTTGGGCTCTCCTCTGAGCTGTTGCTATCTCTCTCAGTTCCTCCAACCCCTTTATCAACTCAAGTTCCACCACTGGAAGCACTTTAACAGATGTGGCTCTTTGACATCAAATGGAGTGACCTAAAATCACCTCTGAGTCTTGGAAAGTTGTCTGCCAGGGCAGCACAGCGCAGTGCTGCTGCTGCCTTTATTTGAGACGAGCTCTTCCGCTTAAACTCGAGAAGAAACTTCTTTCCAGTGAGGGTGACAGAGCCCTGGGACAGGCTGCCCAGGGAGGGTGTGGAGTCTCCTTCTCTGGAGACATTCAAGACCCGCCTGGATGCCTTCCTGTGTGATCTCATTGAGGTTCCTGCTCTGGCAGGGGGATTGGACTGGATGATCTTTTGAGGTCCCTTCCAATCCCTGACTCTTCCCTTTCCAGGCGCTGCAGGATGGTGTTTGCCACCCTTTGTAACGTCAGTCCTTGTCCCTTCCTCATCCCTGCTTAGGATTACCAGGCCATTGTGGACGCCGAGTGGAACATCTTATATGACAAACTAGATAAAATCCACAAGTCTGGAGCCAAAGTTGTCCTGTCCAAACTTCCCATCGGTGACGTGGCTACTCAGTACTTTGCTGACAGAGACATGTTTTGTGCTGGCCGTGTCCCGGAGGAAGATCTCAAACGAACTATGATGGTGAGTTGTCTTGATTCAGAATTGATTGATTGATTCAGAATAAAGAGTTTTGATTTAGTTTTAACAGTGCCAGGCTGGTCATTCCTCAAACAGGGCAATCAGTGACTGAACACACTATTCCTTACAAAGATTTAAAGTTAAAAACCGTGGGGTTTTTGTTTGTTTTTTTCTTCCCAATGTGATTATCACTTAAAACTGCCTTTTACTGCCAAAGCTGTTCCTTGATTTAATGAACAATCACACTCTAATTCCATCTGTGCTGCTTTTTTGTTTTCCTGATATTGTTCTATATTAAGGCCCATACACTGCATTGCTAGAGGTTTATTTTCCCTAGTTCTTACCTCTTCCATCCTAAGTGTTTTGGGTTTCTTTTTCCCTGTGTTTTCTTTGTGTAGCTGCTGGACTCCAGACCCTGTGAGTCAGCACTTTGAAGCAGCATAATCTTATTTTGCTGTCGAGGATTATTTCTGATGTTGGTAACCTGCCCAGATGCATCAGATGGGAGGAAAGTAGAAGGGTTTTTTGTCCTGAATCTGGCCTGTGGGGTGGTTTTGTATCAGCTAAAAGGCCGAGCTGTCTCTGAACAGTGGGAACCTGCTGGGCAAATGTCTTTGTCAGTGTCAGTAATGTTCTGCTTTATCTCCTTTCTGGGCAGGCCTGTGGTGGTTCCATTCAGACAAGTGTCAACGCCCTCTCGGATGATGTCCTGGGCCGATGTGAGCTCTTTGAGGAGACTCAGATTGGAGGGGAGAGGTAAATACATCAGTTGGGAACCTCTAGTCCTGCTTAAGCACTCAGATATTAATTTGTAAAGTTGAAATCTGAGCGTTGACAGGTTTGAGCGTCTCTCAAGGTGATGATGTGAAAACAAGATGGTGTTATTGCTGCTTTTTATGATGCTGAGGCAGGACTAAGCTTTCATCTCAACTTTACTCTTTTCTATGCTTTTAAAAATATTTATTCCCCAGTGCCTTGTAGAAAGCGTAGTGCTGTCCTCTCATTTGTAACTTAGAAGCTGTGGCTGCTCCTCCCTGGAAGTGTTGGTGGCCAGGTTGGATGAGGCTTTGAGCAACCTGGTCTAGTGGAAGGTGTCCCTGCTGCTGGCAGGGGGGTTGGGACTGGATGAGCTTGAAGGTCCCTCCCAACCCAAACCAGTCTGGGATTCTGGGATTCTATAAAAGCAACATATTTTGGGGTTGATTACAGCACTCATCTGACATCCCACAGCGATGCTTTACTACCAGTGCAGATGAAGCTGGGTACTATCTAACGAGGTTCTTCCTGTTGCTGGAGGAGAAATCCCCTTTGGGGCTCCCTGCTAACATCTGCCAGGTGAAAATGAGAGCACAGGTCAGGTGCAGAGCCCCCAGCAACAGGAGGAGAGTGGATTTTCCTGGGTCAGCTTGAATTTCACTTGTGTGTTGCCTGGCTCTGCTCCTTCCTCGCTCAGGATCTGACAGGGGCAGAGCGTGGGGTGAAGTGGATTCAGCAAGAATTTCTCTGTTCCTGTACAGTCAGAATCCCAGAATGGCCTGGATTGGGAAAG